TGGTTTTAACCGGTTAGTGGCATACCTGTCTTGAATGCACCCAGTACTCTCCCTTCTCTGGGCTTTGGTATTTGGCTCTTACCTCTTACCTGGAACAGACTTCCCATTGATACTTCCCTGACTTTTTCACTGAGGTCTCCAGTCTTAAATGCTTAAAGAGTTCTTCCCTCCCTCACCATCTTATCTAAAATAGCACTCCTCTTTACCTTCTCTGCTTTATTACACTCAGCACCGTCTTACATAGTTACATAGATTTATTTGCATCTTTGTCTTTCTATCTAGAATGTAAGCTCCACAAAGGTTGACTGTTGGTTCTCTTCACAATTTTATTCTCAATGCCTAAGAAATGCTTGGCACATAGTAGGTGCTAGATATTAAGGAACAGACTTGTTAATCCGACACTTTTATGTCTACAATCACCAAGTATTCTGGTTGCCGAGGATACAATTATAAATAGGATAGCCACTCTGTCAAGATCCTACTCTCTAGTGGAAGATAGACAAAACAAATTTAGTGTGTGTGATATTCTGTGATAGGGATATTGATAGGGTGAGAAGGGAACGTGTGGGATAGGAGGGTCTCCAGGCTTAGAGATCAGAGGGGGTGTCCTGAGAGTGTGATCCTCTGCGTCTTAGAAGCAGCTTGGGTGGAGCAGGAGTGTGGGAGTGTTGGGCTGGGGCAGTGGCTACCAGGCAGAGGGAGCTCTAAATGGAAACGCCTGGACAAATAGGGGACCTGAGAGCATTTCAAGCATTAAGTTGTTTGGATGAGGAGATCTGAAAAAAAAAAAAAAAGTTTTTTTAAATATTTATTCATTCGAGACCCAGAGGGAGAGGGACCCCGGGATCTGACCTGAGCCAAAGGCAGACGCTTAACCATCTCAGCCACCCAGGCGCCCCGATCTGAAAAATTTCTTGACCCAGTCGAATATATAAACTTGTAGTAATACTGGTGAAATAGTCAAATTTACGTACGTAATATTGGTACATTAAATCCTGTATCCTGTAGAAACTAAAATCCTGCCTTTTTCTATTATAATAATTTGAAATGTCTCAAACTTTTAATGTGTATCTTCCATGTTACTCTTGTCATAAATAGAACCCCTTTGGGGTTACCTAACAAAGTCTTCCAGAGCTGCTTATTTTTACTTTGATAAAGTCCTTATTCATACAGTAATAAACGCTGTGAGCAACTCCTTTGTGCCGGGCACAGTGACTAAAAATGGACAAAAACCCTTACTCTCAAGGATAGAGTTTACATTTTGAATGTTTGTGGTAGTGCTTTTTGAATGTAGATTTGGTGTTAAACAATGTTAAGAAAATAATTTTTTTTTTTTTTTTTTTTTTAAAGATTGTATTTATTTGACAGAGCACAAGCATGGGGAGAGGGAGACGTGGGGCTTGATCTCAAGTCTCTGGGATCATGACCTCAGCCAAAGCAGCCGCTTACCCAACTGAGCCACCCAGGTGCCCCTAATTTTTGCTTTCTTCTGTTTCTTACAATTACACATGGCCATATGAATGTTTATAGACTGATGTAATCCATTTTAGCTATTGTGAGCTGACTTCCTCTCTCTCTGGTTTAGGATTTAGTGTAGTTATCCTACATCCTATCCTATATCCCCTTTGCTTCCCTTCCCTCTCTCATTATTGGCATAGGGTTATATTATATTTTTCTTAACATCACCATTTGTTATTTTTTGCATATATGATATCCAATACTGGGAATTGTACAGTTGTCCTTTTGTTTTTTCCTAAAGCTAATAATGACTTATTTCCTTACTTAGAACTTCCAGTTACAAACTTTCCCTCACTATCTAAAAGTCTCTCAACACAGCTCTCCACAAGTTGGTCATCTTGAGGAAAGAAAACATCCTGATTTTTTTTTTTTTTTGGTGGTCCCATCTCTGTGGAGACCTTCATTGATTATGTAGACTGGGTGCTCTGTAGGCTGCTTTTAGGTTTTGTTGGAATTTCCTTTTGCTGTTATCCTAGGTATTCCTTTTTAAGACAAGAATATCAGAAATTCAAACTACAGTATGGAAGGCCACAGAGCTTTGGGGTACTAGATACAAAACTAGTGGCTGTTACAGGGTTGATGAAGAAATAGCATGCCTTGATGTCATCATTTGACTGTCTTAGGAACTAGATAGAGTTACAGGGTTTGAACGAAGAGCAAAAGAGCAACTGTGTTTGCAAAAAAAAAAAAAAGTTCAAAGGAATAGGAGTTTCAAATCTATATTTAAAAAAAACTGTAACGAGGATTAAAATCAACATCTAATTAGTAAAGATACACTTAACCACATAGCTTTGGTGGCATTTTAGAATTCACTTGTAGTGAGATTGCAAGTCAGTCATGAGCTGATTTTTTTTTTCTACACAGGTGTCCTATGTTGAAAGTTCTCGGGCCAGCTAAGGCACAGGTGGCAAAGATGCTTTGATTATATCCCCAATGACTGTCAAGACACAAACGATCCCCTGTTGGAGCATAGCGTAGAAACCTCTCACTGCTTTGCCCGTGTATGCTTGTCAGTGTTACTCTTCTCCTAAAAGACAATAGGAAAGTACTGTTTTGATAGTCTCTCCGTTCTTGCTTTTATGTCTTCATTAACTGGTTTGTTCAGTGACCTGTACATGTAATCAAGAAATATAAATGGGTGAACTAAACCAACTGATACACAGCAGGGCATGGTGAAAATTGTGGGTAGCTAAAGAACATGTGTCCTGTGAAGGAGTCCATTACTTCTCAGGTGCAGCTAATAGTTACGACCCCAGCATAGTAAAATTGTCCTCTTTCCTCCCTTTCTCCTTTTCCTTCTTTATTGTCCAGAAGTTCAATTTTTAATAATGTCATTTTGAAAATAACCTTCGTCCTTTGGGTTCGTTCAGAACTTGGACCAGTAACCACCAGCTAAGTTTTGTTTTCTCAGTCTTGAGAGAGCATACCTGTGCTGCTGCTCAGGCTTCTTGGGTAAAGTTGACTTAGGTGTGCTGCCTCTCAGGGCCTCTTGGTTACTTCTTTGGCAGATGGCTCTGAGGCTCCCAGACTGTGGTTATTCTTCAGGAGAGCTGGGTATCCCTGAGGGATTTTTACATATTGCAGGGGCTCCTCCGTTCCCTTTTTCTTAAGAGTTTATTTGTAAGTCATCTCTACACCCAACCGGGGGCTCGAATTCGCAACCCCAAGATCAAGAGTTGTGCACTCCACCAACTGAACCAGCCAGGTGCCCCTTCCTTTTTCTCTTGAATCATTTTCCCTCTTACCAAGATCTCTTGCTTTGACCAAACGTGTTCTCTAATAGCTTCATCAGGTTAATAAAAACAAACCCAGAAAGGTACAGTGGCAAAGTGCACTGTGATGACAGCCCCTAACAAATCTGCCTTTTGAGTCATAGCCCTCCAGTTTGAACAGCATTGTCCTTTATGACTGGTGCATACCTGTCATCTAGGATTTCCACCATCTTGGGAATTCCATTTGCCTCACTCCTTGGTTGAAACTTCTGTTCTCTTGGAGGATGTCCTCTTTCTTGGGAGAGCATCTCATTTTGATGAAGTACATCCTCCAGTAATTTCCTGAGATGATGGTTCATGGGAGGAATATTTTTTAAATTGTTGAAATTTGAAAAAGGCCTTTTCACTGACCCACTCAATTGATGGTCGGACTAGGTAAAGAATTTTAAGTAGAAAGCCATTTTCCTCAGTTTTTTTTTTTTTTTCAAATCTTCAAAATAGTCTTTATTCTACATTTTTAGTATAAAAAATCCACAAGTTAAGTGCATCACAGTGTAGAGAGAGACATACAACGCTGAACTTCCATAACAGTCAATGGTACAAACATCACATGGACAGAACACAAAATTTAGATGAACTGAAATTATAAAATAAAATAAAATCCAATTGCAGAAAACAAAAATCAGAATATTAAGGATCCCTGAAATATTCTTAACCCTAATGAGATTTCACTGGACTCAAGTCATTTTGTAGTGAGGGATTCATAACATGACCCCATTAACCCAGCTGAGGAATTCTCAGGAGCCGTGAGGGCCTCCATCAGGTATTCTGACAATGAACGGTAACCAATTTTTGGATGGGAAAACTTCCCCTAATTGGGCTCTGACGTCATCCGGCTTTTGAAATGCATCTTCCTCCTTGCCCCCACATTTTAAACCTGTTTACAGTACAGTTTGCATTGACACCCTTTGTTCAAATAGAGCTCTGTTTTTCTGGCACCGAAGCAAATTGGGGTTTGGTTCATGGATGAAGAAACAACCTATGAGGAGGGTCCAAGAGGCACCCTCCACTTTTGCCTGAGGAGATGCAAAAGCAGAAGTAATGGGGCCTGTGCTTGGGGCACAGAGGGGGTTTCAGAGGATCCCTGTGAAAGACTAGTTAAAAGATGGCAAGTGGGGACAAGTGCAAGGAGAGAAGGAAGTTAGTCTGACTGGCTTTCTGTCCTGCACCATTGATTCAATGGAGATTGGTGGGAAGGAACTGGAAGAGACTAGAGGTGAGGGTGGGACATGGGGCAAAGGATGGAAAGGCGGGAAAGGCAGACAACTAATGCGTTTCATTTATAACAAGTAATAGAAATCAAAGACTTAAAGGAGATTAAAGACCAATCAGAATAATTTGGCAACTTTAATTCTTAGGAAGATCAAAGTTCCCTCCAAACCTAATTTGATGTTTTATTAACTAAGAGCAAAGACCAGTATGGTACAGTATTACTCCAGAGGAATTAAAGGAAGATCCTTAGGGCTGCTTTACCCACATTCATTTTATGAATGGATGCCTCCCCTACCTCAAAATGCTTTAAGGAGGTACTGCTACCATTACATGGTTCCTTATTAAGTTTGAAAAGTGCCTGAAAGTTTGGGCACCAGAAAGACACCCCAACAACGTGTCTAAACTGCAACTTCAGGTTAATATGACTAAAGCAGTTACATTGTGAGAAGTGCTGAAGGTATGTGATGTCTTTCCCGGCACAGAGGTGGCCTTGGTTCTTCACCAGATGGTGTAGCCACCATCTGAGCCACCCATGAAGAAGTTTCCCTTCTGCTGAGTTACAAGGACATTGGCTCCCTGCATGACTGCAAGCTGAGCAGCGTTGGGAGGGCATCCAGGGGGTGGAGGAGGAATGTTGCCAGCGGTAGCCCCAGCTCCAAATCTGGCACCTGCATCATACCCTCCTTCCACCAGCACTGCTGAACCAGGTGGATAGATGTGACCAACTGGATAATAAGCCATAGGGATTGTGCAACCTAAAGGTCCAACAGCCACAGATTGGGCCATGGGAAGATACAGCGAGGCGCCAGGAAATGCAGCTGACATGGTGGGGACTGTGGCAGCCCCTGGGTGCACAAAGCTCGGACGATAGAGCTCCGAGTAGGCAGGTGGAGCATCAGTATAGGGTGGAGCCTGAGGAAGATGCAAGGTCTGAGGGTACACTGGGTTTCCAGGAGGCTGCACAGGGTAGGTTGGCTGCGTTGGATATTGACCTTTGCTGTTCATGGTGGCTGCTGGTCCGGTTCGGCTCGGCGTCGCGGACCATTTTCCTCAGTTTTTTTTTTTTTTTTTTTTTTTAAGATTTTATTTATTTGACAGAGACAGCGAGAGAGGGAACACAAGCAGGGGGAGTGGGAGAGGGAGAAGCGGGCCTCCCCCCAAGGAGGGAGCCCGATGTGGGACTCGATCCCAGGACCCTGGGATCATGACCTGAGCCGAAGGCAGACGCTTAACGACTGAGCCACCCAGGCACCCCATTTTCCTCAGTTTTTTAAAGACTTTGCTCCATTGTCTTAGTTCCTGGTGAGTCTGAAGCCATTCTAACTCATCTTTTTATTATAGTTGATGTGCTTTGATTCATAATCAGAATTCAGAAATACTATATCACCTTGTTTTATTACAAGGTAATTTGCATGATAAAATGTACCAAGGTATAGTAATATTTCTCTTTGTAATTCTGAGAAATCAGAACTGTAACTTTGTGAAAAGTTTCTTTTCTAACCTTGCATTTCAATCCACCCTTTGTCATGTGTCTTAATCCTTTTTATCTACTGACATCTGCTTCATTACTCTTCAGAGTATGTGCTTTTTCAGTAGAAGAATGGTTACTCAGAGCCATAATAATCTTAATGGTTTTGGCAGTATCCCTCAAGACTGTGGTTATCCATTTAGTGAGAAAATAGTGAATTTTTTATCCTATTCAGCTTCATAAAAATATGGTTTACTGCTCTGAAATTACATGGATTCCTTGGCCTCTTCTTTTTCCTTTAGGGCTTTGATTCCCCACCACCCCCTCGCCCCGAAGTAAGAAAGCCCTTAGACACTATTTTTAGTTTGTGCTAAGTAAAAATTTCCTTTCTAAACAAATGCACTCTTTGAATATGTTAACCTTAAACTGCTTTTTTTTTTCTTAGTCATTTTCCCCTTGAACTTTCTTAAAGATTGGTTTAAGAAACATTGATGGTTTGCAGCTATCACTGTCTTTTTGTTGTTTTGTTTTTAAATTCCAAGGGCTTTCATGGTAGAAGAAATAATTAAATGAATTCGATTATTTTTAATTCTGAAAGGTGGTTTAGCATCAGCTCTGAGGACTGCTTAGGGAAAAGGTCAGTAAACATAATGCAAATCACATCTTCCTTTGGTTTTAAGTTGCTTTTGCCCCTATGTCCCTGCAAGTCTGATTTCATATCATTTTAAGAATGATACAGATGATTTGATGTGTGCCTGTTTAAAAAAGTGGCAACAACTTAGGAGATTTCCTATTCCAAATATACTAAGAGGTATAGGTGCTAAAATTCATATTTATACCTAAATCACCTCTTAATTTGTCTCGAAATAATTATACATTCATTGTACTTTATATCCAGTAGAGACTTTCAAAATAAGGTGCGAGATTGCATTTGCTTCACCTTGTTGGTCACTGCGGTATGTATGAGAATGTTTATAAGAGTCTTAATGTGAATGATCAAAGATTTTAGAGGTTGAAGTCTAACCATTTTCTTACTGTGCTGAGGTTGAGGGCATAACACCAAACGGAATTAGAAATTATCTTGAGAACCTAGAGGGAATATTAAAAAAAAAAAGGTCTGACACTTTTTATAATTGACACACAATATTCCTAGTTTCAGGTGTACAAGATAGTGATTCACTATTTTTATACATTTTGCGATGATCACCATGGTAGGTCCGGTTACTATCTCTTACTATACAAAGTTATTACAGTATTATAGACTGTATTCTCTATGCTGTACATTTCATCCCTGTGACTTATTTTATAACTGGAAATTTGTGCCTGTTAATCTCCTTCACTTCACCCCTTACCTGGGGTACCTCCTGGTTCCCTGTATCTGAGTCTGTTGCTGCTGTTGGTGGTGGTTTAAAATTCCACCTACAAGTGAAATCATAATACTTGTTTTTCTTTGACTTATTTTACTTAGCTTAATACCCCCTAGGTCCACCTATGTTTCACAAATGTCTAGATTTCATTTTTTTTAATGCCTGAGTAATACTGTATGTATATACCACATATTCTTGATCCATCTACCAAAGAAAGAGTGAGGTTGCTTCCATATCTTGGCTGTTGTAAATAGTGCTGCAGTGAACATAAGGGTATACATATCTTTTTGAATTAGTATTTTCTTTTTTGTCTGATAAATACCTGGAAGTAATATTGCTGGATCATATGGTTGTTCTACTTTTAATGTTTTGAGAAACCTCATACTGTTTGCTGCAGTGTCTATACCAATTTACGTTTTCACCAGTAATGCTTAAGGGTTCCGTTTTCTCCACATCCTCATCAACGCTTATTTCTCCTACTTCTGATCCTAGTTTTTCTGACTGTGTGAGGGTATAGCTTGTTGTGATTTAGATTTGCATTTTCCTGATGATTCGTGATGTTGAGCATCTTTTCATGTGTCTGTTGGCCCTCTGGATGTCTTTGGAAAAATGTCTATACAGGTCTTCTCATTTTTAATCAGATTGTTTTTTGTAACTGAGTTTTGTGAGTTCTTTATGTATTTTGAGATTCAACCCCTGATACATTATTTGCAGGTATCTTCCCATTAAGTAGGTTTCCCTTTCATTTTATTGGTTTCCTTTCCTGTATAAAAGCTTTTCAGTTTGATGCTGTCTTGTTTTTTGGTTGTCCTTGCCTGAGGAGATCTATAAAAACAAACAAAACTGCTAAGAGCAGTATCAAAGAGCAACTGCCTATGTTTTCTTGGAGTTTTATGGTTTCAGGTCTTAAATTTAAGTTAATACATTTGAGTTTATTTTTCTGTGTTGTATAATAAAATGGCCCAGTTTCATTTTTTTTGCATGTAGCTAAAGCTTTTTCAATGCCATTTATCGAAGATTGTCTTTTCGCCATTGTTTTCTTGCCTCCTTTGTCATAGTTAACTGTGTAAGCTTAGGTTTATTTCTGGGCTTTCTGTTCTGTTCTCTTGATCCATGTGTCTGTTTTTGTGTCCATACCATACTGTATTAATAACTATAGCTTTGTAAGATAGTTTGAAATCAGGTAGTATGATCCCTCCAGCTTCCTTAAGATTGCTTTGGCTGTTTGCAGTCTTTTGTGGTTCCATACAAAGTTTTGAGTTTTTCTAGTTCTGTATAAAATGCCATTGGTTTTTTTTGATGGGGATTATATTGAATCTGTAGATTGTTTTGAGTAGAATGAACATTTTAACAATATTCCAGTTTCTCAGCACAGTAAATGTTCCCATTTATTTGTGTCATCAATGTTGTAGGATTTTCAGAATACAGGTCTTTCATGTCCTTGGTTAAATTTATTTCTGGGTATTCTTCTTGCTGCAGTTATAAAGGGGATTTGTTAAAAAAAATTTTGTGGTTAGTATATAGAAATAAACAGATTTCTATATATTTTGTATCCTGCAACTTTACTGAATTCTAATTTTTTGGTGGAGTCTAGAGTTTTCTATATACAGTATCATGTCATCGGCAGCTGGTGACAGTTTATCTAATTTGGATGTCTTTTATTTTTTTTCTTGCCTAGTTGCTGTGGCTAAGATTTCTAGTACTGTTAAATAAAAATGGTGAGAGTGGGCATCCTGGTTCCTGATCGTAGGAGAAAAGTTTTCAGTTTTTCACCATCGAGTATGATGTTAGCTGTGGGCTTGCCATATGGCCTTTATTACATTGAGGTATGTTCTGTTTGTGCCCACTTTGAGTTTATAGCGTAAATATTGAATTTTGTCAAATGCTGCTTCTACATATGTTGAGATAATCATGACTTTTATCGTTCATTTTGTGAGTGTGGTATATCGTGTTGATTTGTAGGTGTTAAACCATCCTTACATCCTTGGAATGCATGATCCTTTTACTATATTGTTGAATTTAATTCACTGATAGAATTTTTGCATATATATTCACTAGGGATACTAGCCTGTAATTTTTTTTGCAGTGTCTTTGTGTGGTTTTGATATCAGGATAATTCTGGTCTCATAAAATTAGGAAGTTTTTTTTTCCTCTCCAGGCTTTTGGAATAATTTGAGGATGATAGGTATTCACTCTTTAAATGTTTGGAATTACTTGTGAAGCCATCTGGACCTGGTGTTTGTTGATTACTGATTGAACTTTGTTACTAGTAATCTGTCTATTCATATTTCCTGTTTCTTCATGATTCAGTCTTGGAATATTTCTAGGAATTTATCCATTCTTCTAAGTTGTCTAATTTGTTGGCAGTTATCAACCAAAAAAGAAGTCATAGTAACAAAAACATAATCCAAGATCTAAAAACTACAAGGAAGTTTTTAACAAAGCATAAAAGGAAGCAAGCTTATTTGTTTCATTTGCTTCTGATAGATTTGATGCCTGTTAAGAAAATACTAGATTGTGAATGTTACTGTCAAATGATGTTTTTTAAACTTTAGCATTTTATGTAGGAAGAAGAGAATTATTTTAGGGAATCCTAGCTATATTTGTATGGTTATCTTATGCTTCTGCTGATCTTAATTTTTTCTTTGAACTATGTGGATATACTCATGAAGACAGTCGGGGTTTGATGTAGATAAGCTTTTTATAACTTTAAAATGAACTCTGTGTAAGCAGTATCATGTGAGTAATGACCACCTCCTTTTTTTGGGTCGAAAATGACAATTTTTCAAGTATGTAATTGTTGCTTATCAGTTTTTTAAATTTTATTTAGATTCAGTTAGCCAACATATAGTACATCATTAGTTTCAGATGTAATTTCAATAATTCATCAGTCTTATGACACCCAGTGCTCATCACATCATGTGCCTTCCTTAATGTCCATCACCCATTTACCCCATTCCCCCACCCACCTCCCTTCCAGCAACCCTGAGTTTGTTTCCTAGAGTTAAGAGTCTCTTGTGGTTTGTCTCCCTCTCTGATGAATTCCTCTTCAGTTTTCCTGCCCTTCCCCTATGATCCTCTCTGCTATTTCTTAAATTCTACATGAGTGAAACCATGTGATAATTGTCTTTCTCTGATTTATTTTGCTCAGCATAATCCCTTCCAGTTCCATCCACATCAATGTAAATGGTAAATATCCATCCCT